GAATAGGTTTAACAAAGCCATAAAAACTGTTCGTTTCAAAAACGGCAAATCATACAAAGAACAAAACTTTATGTCCTTAAAAGCTGCTCAATGCTTCAAACTATTTGAACCGTGATTTTAGAAAATGTTCAAACTATTTAACGCAATCATCGCGTAACTCAATTTTTTCATTCATTCAATTCAAATTCACGATAAAATCTTATTCCATCCAATTCTAAAGAATCCTTTTCTGAATGAAGCAAACCAGGGCCTTGTTGACGGTTTATGTTGACTGATATTTTTTGCAGGAAATCATTCAGACCCAATGCAATACGAAAAATGCGAAGACGGGCCGTGTTCAAGAACGGAGACTGCAACATCCTGCAGTCCAGAATCTCAAAGAGACGATTGCGCTATTTGCAGGATATTTTTACCACGTTAGTCGACTCGCAATGGAGATGGACTCTTACCATCTTCGCCATCGGTTTTGTAGGTACGCTGTGCCCACTCAGCAACAACCACTTATGGTGTGGATAAAACCATCGTTTTCCAGGCTCTTGGCTTTTGTTTGCCCTCATCTGGTGGCTGATCGCTTTCACCCATGGTGACTTGGAAGACGCTCATCTTCCAAATAGTCAAGCTGACTCAGAATGGACACCGTGTGTCTTGAACATTCATGGATTCACTTCCTGCTTCCTCTTCTCCATTGAGACCCAGCATACTATCGGTTATGGTGTTCGAACTACCACCGAAGAATGTCCGGAAGCCGTCTTTATTATGTGTTTGCAAAGTATTGCTGGCATGATTATACAAGCTTTTATGGTAAGTGTCGACAGTTTAAAAAAACCCAAAAAAGTTTTTTGATGAGAATGGAACTATGTAATACATGGCATGAGAAATGAATATTGATAAAAGATGTGATTTAAGGTGGGTATCGTTTTTGCAAAAATGACGCGTCCCAAACTCAGAACGCAAACATTGCAGTTCTCAAAGAACTCAGTAATTTGCCAAAGGGATGGGCAATTGTGCCTGATGTTCCGTGTGGGAGATATGCGAAAGAGTCACATTATTGGAGCTAGCATTCGAGCTCAGCTTATCCGGTCCAAGAAAACCAAGGAAGGAGAAGTGGGTGTGTTGAGTAATCAGTAATAATTTTCTAATAATGTTTCATGGTAGATTTTAAACAACTTTCAAACCGAATTGAGTGTGAACGCAGACGGGTGTGATGGAAATTTGTTTTTCATCTGGCCTATGACTATTGTCCATAAAATCGATGTACAGTCGCCGTTTTATCAGTTGTCTGCTGGTGATTTGTTGCAAGAACGTTTCGAGATTGTAGTCATTTTAGAAGGTATGAAGAATTTTTAATCTCCTAAATAATTCGATGTATTAATTCTAGCAGGATCTAAAACTTGCCCTTTTCTTAACCTATTTGTGTTAAATTCGTTTATTCTCTCTGTGTAGGTACAATAGAAAGCACAGGTCAAACCACTCAAGCCAGATCCAGTTATTTGGCCAGCGAGGTTCTCTGGGGGCATCGATTTGAGCCTGTGGTGTCTTATAATAAGGACAGGCAGGGATACGAGGTGAATTACTCCAAATTCGACAATACTTTATCGGTGGATACGCCTTTGTGTTCTGGATCGGATTTGGCGGAATTTTACAGAATTCGAGATATGCCAGGTACGAGTTTTTTATGCTAATACATGCAACTTTATTTTAACACATCTTTAATCCACAAGAACATTGCTTAAGACGAAATTTTCTATTGGCAAACTCAACAGTACTTATTAGCGGAAGTTATTTAAAAAAAAAGACCAGCAAAATTAGATAATGACGGTTTGCGTTGGTTCAAAGAAACCGCATAATGCAAAAAGCAAATTAAATTTTATTTAGAGATGCTTGAATTGATTAATTGACGCTTAATCAAATAATATGCAGGACATTTTCTTGCAAAGTCAGCGTGAAGTTGAGGTGAAATGTTTTATAAAATTGTGTTCAAAAAACGTTTCAAAAACAAAACAGTTTATATTTTTAATGGAATTTTTTCCATTTTTCTTTTCATCATTTATTATTCATCGTCCATAAGCTTACTGTTTTTTTGCCAGAGAAAATGAAACTAATTGTTCGATTAAACTCGATTTCGATTGACCTTAAAGCTTGAACTTTTCAATAAAAGACATAGTATTTAAAATACATTCTGCTAGTAACTTCGCTTTAACATTCAACCGCTTTTTAGTTTTATTTCGTTTTTAAGAATTAATTATATTTTTTTCCTCAATCCTTTTCCTTTATTGTGTAGTTCTTCAATTGTTAACCGCCCACCATACAAAATAGTAAACGTATTTGACTAACTACATTAAAATATGTAAATAAGTTTGGCTATCGTGCAGTTTAGGCTTCAACCTATTTATTATTAGGAAAACTCACAGTTTTTGGATTTTTTTTAAATAAAAAAGAACAATTTTGAAAAACATTTGCCGATCGTAATGTAAAAAATATTTTTTTAGAATCAGATAAACAGCCTGTATCAACAGACCAGCAAAGTTTTATATTAAAATCACCACCAAAGTTGATGAATCAAATGAGAATTGTTGATGTCGAAGAAGAACCGAATGAAACAAAGCCATTTCCTACCGATTATTTGTGAATATTTAACTATGTTTCTTATTTATATTCATTATTTTATTACTATTAGCGATTTCCACTCAATATGTTTAACTTTTTATTTATATTCGTTTTAGTCGTTTAAAATAAGTTAGGTATAGTCAATTGATTACTTATTGTTATCAAAAACTGGTTGTTCCGAATAAAAATACATATTTTTTATAGAAGCTTTCCATTGTTGAAATTAGTAATTCTCCACTAATCGATCAGAACAGAAACGGGATATAAATATTCTATATTTTTAACATACTTATTTTTGTTTTTATTTGTTATCATTATGGCAATTATTTCAGTTCAGAGCCGGAGAACGCGAAAAGGATTCACATTTTCAAACTAAACTTCTTATGCAACGGTTTTTTTTTGAGGAAAATACGCCGGTTGTGACTCACTTTATGTATTATTCAAAACACTGAAACAGGACAAACCATACTCAAATTAAATAAGCAAGCATTTATTATTATAATTTCCAAAATATATTTCTATACTTGTTAGGTACATAAATAATAAACAAAATAAAATTGCAAAACATCCAACTTGACAATTAATACTAATAAATACAATTAATAAGTAAATACCAATAAAACCTTAGCCATTGAGCTTCATTCACAGAGATCACCGTTAACATTTAATACTGAGTTTAGGCAAAAAATCTTCTATCACTTAAAAGATAATATTATTTACAGGAAACTATTTTGTTTGGAATTTTTGGCATCACGCACTCAATTTTGATTACTTTTAGCGAACAGTTGAGAGAGAAAATCGGTTTGTTTTCGGTTGACCATTCTGAATCCCAAATTTCTGATTCCAAGATCGGAATGCACCGACCCGTTTCGAATATGAAAACAAAGTTGTCCTGAATAGCATGCGGATGTGCGTATTGACTCCTTGGTAGAACAATCTTCGCCAAAAGCGTTCAAATGATAATTTAGGCAGAAGGTTTCGGCGAAAACCATTTGACAAACTGCAATAAATCGGACAAAAACATTTATGCTGAGAATGTACACAAAAAAATATGTTCTGGATAAGAAATCTTTGAATAATTGCGAATTTATTTTATAAAATTCTGTTAAAAACTGTTATATATTTTATTCGATTAATATTTAAATTGAATCTTTCGAGTAAATTCAAAGAACAACTTAAAATAATGGAAATAGTTTTGTTTGTTTACTGTAAAATTGATTAGATTACTTACCATTCATAAGAATCAGGAGGGCAACCAATTTCCAAACTCGCCCAAACATTTTTCAAAAACAAAAATTTTGGAGTCAACTAAATATCGAAGTACTTCAAACGCCAGCCAAACACTGTCTTGGACATTTTGAAAATGCGTCTGTGTTTTTATACTGTTTGTTTCTCAATAAGACGTTCGTAAGGATATGAATACCCATATCGAGTAACAATTTTCGTATTTTGATAAAAAGTACAGCAATAGATAAATTTTATGATCAGCATTAATCCGTTGGGATTTTAAACCGCAAATTGTGTGTTTTTGGCCAAAACGCATTTTTGTTGCCAAAATAGGAAAAAATCAATTATTTTTAGATATAAATGGTCTAAATTTGGGCTGATCCTTTAATATATCTGGGATTAATAAAACATGGAAATTTTTTAATAAAAACATTTCGGAATACTACTACCATTGCGCTAATGATTTATTATCACAGGGTGACAAAAATGCGCGTCTTTTATCTGGAGGCAATTGTTGGTCTTTATTTTCGATATTTCTTAACTTCTTACCGTACTTTTTGACTCATATTTTACAGTTAAAGTCGGAAAGTCTTACCATGATGAAAAAAGGCGATCAAAAATTGAGCAACAAATCGCCCAAGAAATGTAAACATGAATCATACAAACTAAAACCCATCGTTAATACGTGAAACGAAAATTGCATTTTTCTATTTTCGGACATTTTCGAATGAGTCAATTTGTTTTTTCTATTGGGTTTAATTTGCATTATCTATATCGTTGCTAAAAGTACCGAATTTGCTAATTACACCTCAATAAAACTTATAAAGATAAAGCAAATATACATTTGAGTAACAGATAGTATTCACTTCCTGGTCTTCCTCCACTTCATGACTTCCGAGTATTTCTTGTTATCCATGACCGAGGTACTTTTTTACATGAACTGTTTATGTATACTGTGACTCATTGGCGAATAAAACCCACATTTTCTTAATCTAATGGCTTGGATTAGGCTGGATCAAACGTAAGTTCAGTATCAATTTTTTTATATTTGATTTTTCATTTTAATGAATCACTTATTAATGACATCAAATTCAAAATATTGCCATTGGAAAAGTTATCCAAAATGCTTGAGCTTTTTGGGCTCATTTGAAATGAAACGGAACTGCTATAGTATGTACAAATTTATTTCATTATACTTACATTTAACTAACATTGAGAGGTTTTATCACTTCGACCATAATAGGAGCTATTTACAAGTAAATATATACAACAGTTACACATTTAGAAATCACCTGGATCCTTTAGTGAATTTTAATGGCAATTCAACAAAAAAATGTAAATTTGTATTTCGATTTTGATTAATAAACTGAACTTGCCAACATAATTAACCTCTTACTCTTAAAGGAACAAGTCTTTCATTGAACACAACTTTTTGTATAACTACTTGAAAAACAATCATTGTTTAGGCTTAAAATTAAGTACATTTATATATTCTAATTATTTAAATACATTAACATACAATATAACTTTTTACAATAAGTCTTAAGTACCTAAACGTAGCAATCAATACAGAATAATAATAGCAGCACCAGATACCTATATCTAAACAACAAATAAATACTTTAAATAATTGTATAGTTTCGAAGTCTATCACAATTTTAACAATGATTTCAATAGTGACTTGTTTGTATACAGTAAAGAAAAATTTACAACCATTTACTAGAGTTTTGTCAAGCAGTAGTTTATAAAAATATTAAGAAAAGTTTACACGCATATAAACGACTGAAAAATAATGTGGTAATTTTTCTTTACTCATACTGTAACAGAACGCGCATAACTTGCGACTGATAATTTAAAATAATTCAACTTCGAGTGTATTTTGAACGACAATTTATTAAAACTATTCTACTGTAATCGGACAATATAAAAATCACAATGGTTTTACCCTGGTGATTTGAAAAATCGTTTATTTTTCGAACCAACTGGGCAAATCTCTAATAACGCATATTTTTCGACGTTAATCGAGACAGAGTAAACCATCAAATCTAAAATCGCACTTGCTCTCAATTGTTTTTATCAGTTTCAATAAAACTGTAACTTTCTGTTCATTTAACTTCTTCGGTTCAAAATTTATCTCCAACTGCTTCGATTGGAAGATTTTAAATGGGACAAGTAACATCAATGGCAAAAAAGCCTCTCATAACGCCAATCACAAATCAACAGTCACAAATCGGTTCAGTTTGGTTTGATTAATGTGTGACTTTCTTCACTACTTTTTTGTAAATTACCCGAAAGCGTTTGATCTTTTGCTCGTTTTCGTTTGAAAAAGCCACATTTGTGCAGTATCGCCACTAGGAGAATAAGGAGTAAAACACCAGCTAGGACGGCTCCTCCAATTATCCACCAATTGATTTTTGAGTACGACGGGATGATTTCGGGATAAACTAACGTTTCCGCCTGAAAAATGCATAGAATTTTTGATATTTGGAAAATATTCATCGAGATAAAAGTTACTATTTGCTGTTATTGATTAGACAATGTTTATAAACAGTTCGATAAAGCAATGGTTAACTTAATGGCTGCAGCTTTCGTTTTGAAACGTAAAGAAGCGCGTTTTGGCAGAAGCAGATTAATTTAGAATTAAAACTTGTTTTTTTAATGTGTAAAGTTTCAATCAATATTGATGAAAATGTGTTAAATCCGATTCATTGCAAATTGAGGAATTCAATAAATTTCACTTACTGAAAACCCAAATATTTGCTCGGGCTTAGTGATGAATGTTTTATCCAATATTTCCACTTGAGCATGGGAATTGATTTGTACCCAATCGACATTACTGTAGTCTTCAACCAACGTTGCATTCCAGATTCGCGACTTTATTTCCACATACACTTGCATCTGCTTCTTAAGGCCCCCGATTAGACACTCAATGTCTACGCATCTGGCCGATCCTTTACAGTCCTGCAAAATGAACAAAATAATATTAATAACAAAAAAACATTATCACGAAATTCTTGAATATAGACCAAGTATGTTTACACGTGAATAGTAATTACCATAACAGTTATCCGTCTTTTGATTCCCCCTTTTTCCACTTCTTGAGACTCAATAACCGATTCCACTTCCCGTCTTTTCCTTCTTAACACGTTGTTGAGGGAATCATTTTCGTTTCGGAATTCTGGTGGGAGCAGCAAGTTTTCAGGTTCATCTACGCTGGGTGTTAGAAGGTCCAGCTTCAAAGGGTTCACTATTTCTTCTGTAGTGTTGGCAATGTAACAAAGCGTGCCCGCATCAGTTGTGGATCCTGTAAATTTTGACCTTCGTTGAAAAATTCTGCATTTGTGGCGTTTTAATTAGTTTACCTAAAACTTCGGGCATTGATTCCAGATAAAGTAGCCACTTTCCTTCATTCCCGTTTCTTCCAGGCCTCACTTGGTACGGCCACTGAATGTTCACTTTGACTCTGGGCAGGTCCCATTGTCCTCTATTATCCAGATAATATCGATGGATCACTCTTGATCCAATGTCTTCTAAATGGTTCATTGCCGACTCTCCAACGACTTTGCCACCAAAGAACAGATTCGTCGAACCCTTTCTGAAATGATTTGGCTTCTCTAGTTCAAGTAGACGATTTTACTGGAATTCTTACCCAGTAATACTGAAATCGGCAATTTTTTGAAGAATTGCGGTCAGTTTTACTTCGGTCCTCTTCGACTTTTCCGTCGATGTGGAGTTCACTTTCAACATGAGATCTAGGGTTTGGTCTTTGGTATTTTTCTTTATCTCAAACCTAAGTTTTAAATTAACACTAGCGTTTCCACGGAATGGATTTCCTAAGTCGCAGACTACAAGCGTTTGGTTCTTGAATGAGCACTTTACGTTGGTCTACAAATTCGGTGTTGAAAAAATTAAGCTTTCGCCACTTTTGCTTGAAACTGGTGAATCTTTCGGGCTTTAAGACCGTCAAGGGATTTTTTTAAATGTTAGTCTAGTTCTTCAGACATGCGTTGGCATCGCACGACCATCTAAATTTCGAAGGACTCGCCAGTTTCAACAAAAAAATACTTACATGTTGATTTTTTTCAGTCTTCAGGTTAATATAGCTAAGAGCTGTGGGATGCACTACAAAAAGTTTGGCTTCGTAAGCGGATTCTAGCTTGTTGGAGATGTTGGCTTCCAGAACAAACTCCTGATCGGTCATGTTCACTGCGTACTCTCCCTTGGAGTTTTCTATTTTTACAAACATTAGGCATGTAAAAACCTTGTTTAAAAGCATTTTCTGCTACTTACTCTTGAAGTTGGTTCCAGCTATCAACTCCAAGTAGCTTATACAAACATCATCATCTCCACAGTCCTTTTGGAATGTTGCCTCGAACTCTTTAATCGATGTAGTGTTTAGAATGGCAGTGTGCGGTTTGCTGTCTTCCTCCAAAGTGTATTTGACTTTGAACTTAATGGGCGAAAGAATATCGCTCACTCCCTCCTTGATATAAACCACTTCCCGCTGGCAATACGTCTTCGATAAATCCTCCACTTCGATAGTCTTCGTATTTACGTTGGTTCTTTTGTTTGGATACTGCGGGTTGCGGAACCAAATCCTGGGAATTATTTTTTGCAGCTCTGTTATGTGGTAGACGATGGAAAACGTTCTTAGGCTCTGATCTTTGCCCACGATTGTAAAGCAGGGCTTGACAACAAAACTGAAACAGACCATGTGGAATAATCGCTCTAAAGTACAATATTTCAAGCCATACCAGGTGTTATTCTGATTGCCAGGGTCGGCTGCGCAACCCTTTCTAGATACATTAATGTTGAACATGTCGCTGCTTTCAATTTTAATGTTGATGTCGATGATGGGTCTGGTCAAAAATAAAAGTGCCCTCTCCGATTCGTAAGCACCGACCAGCAAATCTGGGTATCCATTTTTGTCCATATCTAAACCACCACTGAGAGAGTAGCCGAATGTGCTTAGTTGTGGAAATCTCATTATCTGATAAGCAAAAAGAAATAAAGTGAAGAAATAAATAAAATAAATGAACAGGCGAATGTTTTTGACTGTGAAAAGCTGAACGCACCTGTGATGGTTCAGGTTTGAGCCCTTGACTGGAACCCAGATAAATATAAACCGCTCCATGATCCCTTTCATAGGGAGCACCAATGGCAACATCATTATAACCATCCTTGTTGATGTCACCAATGGAAGTCATGGAAAATCCGAACCGCGATTGCTCGGTTCCGAAGAAAACCGCATCCCAAGTGCCGTTCGGGTTCGTTAAGTTCCAATTCTTCAGATTATAGTAGACATAGACGGCCCCACCTTTATTATCTGCATAGTAGAATGGAGCACCAACGAGGAGATCATCAAATCTAGATCAAAGAATTAGCGGGATTTACAACAGTGTTCTAATCTCAAGCAAATTCAGCATCGGAAAATTACCCGTCGTTGTTGACGTCCTCAACTAAAACCTCGTATCCAAAACTGGACGCAAACTGTTGCCCCGTCAGTATCAGCGGTATACTCAGTTCTTCATTGGCAATGTTATCGCGTTTTTCGAAAAAGTACACTTGGCCTACCATTTGAGATCTAGGCGCTCCTGATACATAAGTGTAAACGGACTTGCTCAATATGTGGCCACCTCCGACACTCATACCTAGGAAACATCGTATTTAAGCCGCTAAAAATAATATTTCATTTGAGCCCTCACCTAGATAACTGTACTTGTCAATAGGCAGAGGATTATCATTTAAGGGCCCCCTATAGATTGTCTTATCCCTATCTATAAAAGACCCTTCCACCACTTGGGAGAACAGTGTTCCTCTCCAAGTGTATGGGCCGGGGGCTCCTACTAGAGCACTGTCTCCTACAAAGGAGATACTGGTGCCTATCTGACAGAACCCATACTGCTGATGCAGTCTGCAAAATTCCGTTTTGAATTTTCCGAATAAATATTAGAGGAGGCACTAACTTTTCTGTGGGCAATCCTTTGCAAAATTGCAGACTATCCGTTGTGTGCAGGGTGTTGTTCAATAGGTAACATAGACCTTGACCGTAACGGAATTTGGAAATGTCTGGACTTTGAATGTATCTATGGGCACAGACCAAAACTTGTCCTCCAGGTTTTTGGGATTTAACTGACACTCCTTAAAATATGCTGCATTATATCAATTACAGAACAAATACTGTAGGAAAATTAATTACCAAGCCATTGACCCTCTTTGATTTCATCTGTTTGTGGAGGAAGTAGTGACTGATCCAGACTGTCCAGATCATCATCATAATCAACTTCATTGACTACAAAAAAATTACGAAAGTTACAAGTGAAATGTTTTTGGGCAGATTTGGTGAAACTATGGCATCAACAAGACTCAAATTAAACTCGGGTATTTTACCCAACAAATTTCAATGAAAGGAAAACTTTTGCCTTGCTTGGTAGCCCATAGTTTCATCAATGATTGTGGTTAGTTCGTCACAAGAGAAAGGATATTGCTTACCACAAAAGTGAGAAGAAACACGTAACAAATAAAGGAAAACACGTATTCTAATTACAAAAAATACATACATAAAGATAGCAAAAAGAATTTAAGTATCAATTACCTGAGTGGAATATGAAAATAAAACATATGCTTAATTAGCTCTTTTTAATCAAAATCACGCAGCAGCTTTGTAAAAAAATAATGCATCAGCAAACAATATCCCTTGGTTATTAGAAATAACAGCAAAAATATTCTACAATTACAACTTGTGCTCGTAAAACCCTTTCAGAAAAACCCTTTTTGCTTTGATAAAAACACTAATTAATTTTCATAAAAAAATTAATATCAACTTTAGTTTCTAAAAGGTTTATTAATACTTCAGATTCTCTATGTACAACAAATGCGATTTATTTACAGAATGCCTGCCTAAAGTCGCTCAAACAAAACAAAGCCTAAAACTGTAACACTAAGTGAATAAATCAATGCAAATCGTGATAAAATGCAAAAAAACATCGCAGGCGGTGTATATTAATTATAAAGGAAAACCATTCGTTCAAACCAAGTAGTGAAAATCACATGGAGGAAAAAAAAATTAACACAAACTCGAAAAACCGAGATTCTGCTAAAATTATGTCAACACAAAACCCAAAAGCGGATTTCAATAATTCTGTCGTGGTCTCGTGAGTTAATCAACGTTAAGACAATAAAATTATCGTTGTTATTGGATTAAATCAGATTCAAAAAGCTGAACACCCCAAAATCTACAGCGTTATTTTGGCTGTTGTTAACCGGCTTGGATATGGCGGATTTTAGTAGTTAACACTTATTCTTAAACAACAGCAAATGTTATATAGTTTCTGTATGTGTTGAAAACGTCTGGGAATTTTAAATATTTTTAACACTTCAGGTTTCAAAAATAAATTAAGTTTGTAAATTATACAAGGTGTTCGGTTAATAAGTAAGTAAACTTAGAATGTATCAGTGTGAATAAATAACCATCGGTTTGATTAGTAAAGAATTTCCAGTTTTACATTTTTTCAGCTTTTCATATTTTCATTTCAAGTCTCTGAGGAAAAAATCCGCTGTTTTTTTTAGACGTGAGAATTAAGACGTCTAAACAGCTCAGAATAATGCCGAAGGCCGTTTTCCAAAAGTTGATTTTCCGAACACCTTGTAAATAAATTACTTTGAATCAATTCAAACAGCAAATAGAGCCATTAATTAATGATCGAAAAATAGCACTTTCTCATTTTTTCAAGACTCCAATTATTGAAGTGAATCGGATCTTTTGCTTTTTAACAGTAGAACATCTTCAAGTAAATTAAAATATTTAAAAAAAATGGAATTATCAATGAATAAATGCAAAGATAACAGCAAAATTTCAAAAAAGTGAGCAATTTGTGGTTTAAGTAAGTTCTGTTATTAACTCTTATTAGGTCAGATGTTGCTATTATTCTCAACATTAATTTAGGTTTAGTCACGTTAAAATAGTCCACTGTGTCAGTGTAACTATAAATTGTATAAAAATGTTTCAATGTCCAGATAAACTGCCCCAAGAACATTGTAAATTTGTTGTTAAAGTCGAAGACCTTAGTTAGTGTAATTATCCCCAACGTACCGTATTATCAAGTAATCATGCAAATTATTTTCGACTTGTTTATGTTTGTTTTATGTAATGTATAATCTGTTTTATATTATTTTTAATAAAGTGGGAACATTTTTTTCCAAACAGTCAAGAACGGGCGAACATCCTGGAAAATTAAATTAAACTTTAACAGAGTTTGACAAAGTACGTGTGTTGTTACCATATCTTATCGTTCAGCAAATATATGTAAGTTTCATCAGTTGCAGCTATGCAAAAATTTTCGACTTTTACGTAATAATTCCCGGTTAATTCCGAAAATAACTTAATGAATTTTGAGTGCAAAACACATAAAATAATAATTTTATAAGGATTTTCCGAGAAACATTTGATGTTTATTTACATGTGATAGTGTATCTACATTTTATTTAATTTACAGAAGCTCTATTTACAGACACTACAGCTACACGTTCATGGTTGGAAATTTGGGTACAGCAATGAAAATTACAAAATAAAAGCTTCAAAAATTTCAAGTTACAGCCACTAATTCGATATCGGAAACTCCGTTGGATCAGATGGATTATTTCTTAAAAACAGATGCAAAACAGCAACATTTTTTGACTGAGTTTTTTTGTGCACTTTATTAAACCGGTGACTAAGTGAATCACATGTAAGGACTATCTGTAAACTTCGACATGGCAAAAATATGGCCAATGAAAATCTAAAAGCCAGCCACAAATAAAGCTTGATTTTCTTATTTTTTTTTGGAAACAACCTTTATAAAAAATGAAATACAGTTGCTGCAAATTTGGCTAGAATTTCCTAATTGTAATCAAAATCGATCCTCATTATCAGGTTGTTCCGTTGAATGTCCTCGATTCGTGGAATTGACGATAAAATGGGCTTTTCGCAGGTAACTTTTATCATTTTGTTGTTCCAAAGGGGAAATTGCTGGAGTTTACCTAAAACAACTCCAAATAAAGTTTTCAGTTCGCTAGTTAAAGTAAATGTATGAACGTTTACCTCAAATCAGACGAACCAGATTTGATATAAGTATAACTTTCAACTGTGGAAGTTGAACGTTAGAAATGTAATGAGTGAATGTTGCAGTACCCAATTTTCCGAAGGCAAATCTACACTCTACATGTCACCTGTAATATCGGGCATCAAAACCACCGCGCGAGTCTACTCGTGCAAGTGAGGGCATGCGACTAATTAAAAAATCAGCAAAATACTCATGCTATTACCGAGGCGGCACCATAAAACTCAATTGGTACCTCTCGTTTGGTTCGAGACCACCACTTACATAAATACCTCCCTCCGGCCTCTGCAAGTGAATCCCGAAAACAAAAACACAAAAATTACTCGTAGAACTTCCGTCTCGTTGAATTTAGTTTTATGCAAAAGAACGCCACTCCCTTTTGGGCACAAAATAATTTTTAAATTAAAGTGAAAAGAAAATAAAAATATTTGTTTTAACATAACGTCTGAAAAATATTTAGGTCTCCGGGTAATTGATTCTAAAAAAATTGTACAGTGTTCAAGTGTGTGAGTCAGTATCGGTCTGAAACTTTCAGTGCGCTTCTTTTGCAAAAACTTCTATCTAGGACATAAATCTACACAAAAACTCCCAATTATCGGTGTTGAAATTTCAAAACTAAACACTCCCCGATAAAAAAGACGCAGACAAGTTTGTACACTTTCAATCACTAAACTCCAGTTTTATGAAAAATCACACCTAAAGCGTCTAAAAATGGAATAGTGTCTTGAAAAGTGTAATCACGCTACTAAAAAAACAGTTGCATAGGTCAGTTGAAATGGAAGAACTAAATACTTAAAGTGGAAAACATTAATTGAAGAAAAAAATGCGTTTGATTAGATCTTCCATTTGTTTCCGCCTTTATAATCCATAACCTTTACACAAAAAACTAATCGAGGCAAGTAAAAGCGATAATCCGAAGAAAAGCCCGTTAGGATTAATCTCGACATCATTAAACACTTCCTTGCCTCGAATAAAAAAACAACAGACAAATAGGCAAAAACTAACACGAAACATCTAACTGTGTGGGGTCTATAACCTCGCTCTATTCCTCTAGTGGGATGTAAACAACACTGATCGCTCCTAAATATGACTAAACATATAACTTCTATATCATTTTTTTTATCTAAGAAGGCTCAATCTAGAAGAATCTAAAAATGATGCTAGAAAGTATGAATACGTACGCCGCTGTCCATCAGTCTCAATTTGGATGCAATCCTGATCCAACTCAGAAATGGGGCATTTGAACACTGCTCCTGAGTAATTGGTATCTGGCTGCAAGTTCTGACCTAAGGGGGCACCGACTAATAACCTGAAACAAAACGCTATATTAATTTCATTAAAAAAATGTGGAATTAAATTGTGTTTTTTTATATTGCAACTTTTGTTGTATATGTTTTCTTTCGAAAGTTATATGTTTTCCACTGTCTTTATTTGCCTTAAATGCTGAGATTTAATGGGATTAAAAAATTTGACTATTCAATTTTTAGCAACTTTAACAATTTTTCCATCTCATACAGTGTTTCTACGCATGTTTAGATTAATAACGCCATAATACTACCTTTCCGATTGTTTTATGCTCTAAATTTTTCAGGGCATTTCTATGAAGTATGAAGTCAAGAAGAAGACGATCGCGTTCTGCTTGCAATAGCAACAAAATACATGTCATTCTTTGTTGGATGTTGTTTTCTGAGGCAATAAAGTAAATTTTGATTGCAATATGGACTTTTCAGTCTTTACTCTAGCACTTTTATATTAAATTGGGCTCAATTTATTAAAAGAACTTCAAAGAAAGTAAATGAAAATACAGTTAACTTTAGCGCTTAAAGCGAGAAAATGAAAAGATGGCCAATAAAAAGCGAATATAAAATCTTGAGAAATATACTATTTTGCGCCGTCACTGGATCAAATTTTAGAAGGTAACATGGTAAAGAAGTATCTAAAAGAATATAAAAATTCAGTTTTTCAGCTAAAAATCTTCTGTGTGTGTGATTTTAGAGCTCAATACATAGTTTTAGGCCTAACAAGCTTCCTTATTCATAATAAATGGGGTGTTTGAGACTATGGTAAGAAAAATGTCGTCGATTAAAGACCAAAATTACTCGAAAACCACTCAAAATAGGGCATAATTTTCGATTATTTGGGTCTCAAATTTCTATTGTGCTTTTTAATCAGATGGGTGCATTTATTTTGGGAAAAAATCGTATAAAATGTGAGGTATTTTGCGTTTTTTCAAAAAAATAGTAAACGTAATAGTGAATTTTGAGCTCGTTAGATTCTTCTCTTCCTGACGATAATCTTGGTCATTAGAGCGATTTGATTTTTCTACGAAAAATAGTTCTAAAGTTCTTTTACTGTTTTCATTTGTGTTTTTTAAGCTCGTCGCATAGTCTTCGACCTAACAAGCTCCTCTTGATGTATACAAAAAGTGTTTGAGTTAGGATTTGGAAAAATATTGAAACAGGAAATATAAAAATATATTAAAATCATAAAACAAGTATTCAGAAAATTTAGCTTGAGCGATAACTTTAGTTCCGTATTGAATATTTTTTTGGAACGAAGTGTGTATGTAATTATTAATTAAGGCCAAGCGCTTTCGACAATTAAGTCATCATCAGGGCCGTTGCCAAATCAGAATCAAACAACCCCCAGAGCACCTAACAAAACATGTCAAACAATGGTTAAAAATAGTCAAAACTAGTTAAAAACTAGTTAAAACGGTCTAAAATGGTTAAAACTGTATATGACAAACTTATAAGAAAACAAACAGAAATAAAAATAAAAATAAAAGAACTTGACTGGGGTCGGCCTTATCAGTACCGCGACCAGTCTGATAAAACTGTTCTGAAGAAGCAGTTCTTCTTGGCATACACCTTCTGATATTTTTTTAAACAAATTCCGCACCTATAAAGATGGCTTAATATGCAAAAAATATTAATAAATACATGGAAAAATCCAGATGAAAGGAGGATGTGCCTCAATCCATCAGCACCCTGAGAGAAGATGACGTTGAAATCCCACTGAGCTAAATTTCCAGATAGTATCCCTCCACCTTGTACCATAGGATAAGATAAACAATAGGCAAAATTATACTCTACCCATGAGAATAAAAAATGACACCGTGCCCGTGGAAACGTTTGTTTGAAAAAATTGTCAAATTTTGTCAAAACTCCAAAATGCGTAAATCAAATTTCAAGTTGTGCTTAATAATGTGATAATTTTTTTAATTCAAAATTTTACGTATTATTCGTTCCATTCTCGGCATGAGCCGATCTTGCTCAAGGTCCGGCTGTAGGCACATTCCGGTTAGCGTATACTGCGGGAAAAAAGGTAGGAGTAGAAGTCGTAGGAGAAGAAGCAGTCGGAAATGCAGATCCAGATTCAGAAGAAGGAGGTGAGTGTTGAGATTTTTCAGCTTAAACTGTTGATTTTGATCGGGTCTGCGTGCTCGATGCAGTTATTAAAAACCTTTGTTTTTTATGGATTTCGCGACAGAACTCTGCAAAATAGGGGAATTTTTTATTGTTCTACTCTATCCGAAATCATAATATTGAAAATGAATTTATTCAAATAAGTATAGATAATGTAGAAATCAGTATTTACTTTAAATCATGAAATTTAACAATTGGCTTACCTGAAGCTAATACATTTAGGTAATAAAACCCAATATTGTTGTTACCTTAAGAAGGGTGAACCGTCATGTTTCTACTCCAAAATCAGCAAAAATTTACATTAAATTAATTGATTCATACATTTCGCTCTTTATGCTGAAACTGTGATGTCACGTAGAATATGCTTCAAATGGTTTTTCTGATATTGCTTCGTTTTTTTAAAGATCCAGTCGTCGGTCATGTGGAAAACGATCTCGTAGGAGATCCAGGAGAAGGAGGGGGCGCAAATGTAGACCAGGAGTAAAAACAAAAAACCCTTTCCTTAACTACTTGCGAGTGTTCAGGAAGAAACACTGTCGATGGCCTCAAAGTAAAATTGCGGTGGAAGGCGCAAAATGCTGGTAAGGTTTAGAAATTAATTGCCAATTGTGCGGCCATTCACGGTTTATCTATGCTAGGTGTAAGATGAATGACCAAGAGAGGCACAAATTCTATAAACAAGCATGCAGTATGAGGAAGAAAGGTAAGGGGAAACGTAGACGACGGAAATCTCGATCGAGAGGTCGTTGTGGGAAACGTAGACGAAGAAGCAGAAGACGCAAGAAGAAGACCTGCCCCATGTAAACGCTGGACGTATCTGGATGTTGGTAACAGAAAAGTTTCAAAATATGTATTGCCGTAGTGTGTCATACCAGTAAATGTCTTTGGATAATTTTGCTGTTTGCTCCAGTGCCTCTTTTAAATCTATCTGCTTAATAACCGCGTGTTACATAACGCTTGCACTGTTCTTGAAAGGAATACTTGTTCAATGATATTCCGTCATTCAGTTGCAAAACATTAGTGTCACAGTTGTGTTTTCGAAAGTTTTCGAAATTTATCGTGCATTAATATAAAGGCCACGAATGGTCGCCTACGTGTGAAGTTTATTTTAGTGGACTGAAAAACATCCAATGGAAAACTATGCGACAACAATTAATTATTTTAGTTTTGCGTTTAGAAATTAGAACAACGAACGTTGCAGAGGCATTTCTTTCAGCATATGGTAACATCGACGTTTATTCGTACTAAACTGCTGAAAAAATCAACGTTATACTGGCAAATTTTGGAACTGAATAAATTCTGACTGCTGGGAGTGAATTGATTTTGTTTGAACCGGTATTTAATGGATCTTTTTCCATTCGGGGCTGCTACAGGGTGGCAAATGAAAATGCAAAATTACTGAAAGGGTATCTCGATTATTTGCAGATTGGTTTAAGAAAATAAACTTCTTGGTTTTGTATTTCCAAAATTTGGGGCTCATAATGAAGCTAAAACTTCACAATCGAATTGAAAGAAAAATTCAATATAGCGACTTGCATAAATGAACAAAATATTAACTAAACTTCACTTAGTTGAAAATCTTCCAAAGTCACAGACTTCGGGAGCAATTCTGATTTGGGTAATTTTTTATTCATTCTGAAAATCGAATTTTAGTCTTACATTGTTAAATTAATTAAATTTAAATTAAAACAAAATCGCTCAAAGCAATCAGTATCCAGTTCAAAAGTTAGGGCAAATTTGACTGTGTAACTTTCATTTTGTTGAGCAGTTTAATTCAGATTTGAAAATCGACATTTTATTGCCTGTTTCGTAACTATATTTCTCCAAGGGTATCAGCAAAGATATTCATCTCATTCTCTATAAATCACAAATACATTAGTTGTTTTCCGCCAAGTTGAGTAATAATAAATAGCCTGCAAAAGTGAACATCCGAGGGTTGATACAACAAAGGCAAACGGGGCTGAAAAGTGAATCTATTGAGGGTGGTTGTAAGCAGCGTGCCCAGAAGGCCATTTTCGTGACCCACTAATGATGAAAAGATATACAGGATGGCACAGGAATTTTATTTTATTTTATTTTATTTAATAAGGTATTTTAATTAAGAAGGCGTTCACTATTGGGATTTTGGGCCTTGATTTATGCCAACATTTCCAGTTTGTATCAATCCCCAGCCAATCGATCTGAATGCTCTTTGGAAACTTTGAAACTTTTTATACTTTAATTTTTCTTTACCGTCCGATTTTTTTCCAATCTCTTGATCAATTGAGTAAAATTGGAGTTTTACTTTTAATCTCTTACTGAACGCGTTCGTTTTATTTCAATCATGAATTTCATTATTCTTTTTTCACTTGATTAATGTAGAAATCCAATATTTTCAGTAGATTTATTTGACGTTTTCTGATTGAATGATTGAATTTCTTGATTGATTTCTGAATTTTCTACTTCGCTCTTTTTCAGTACCAAATAATCAATTAATCTACCCTAACTTTTTTTAAATCCAAACTTTTAGCCGAAAAACAAAATTGAATATACTGGTATTTACTTCTTGTGCAGATCTCTCTGTATATTCGACTGAATATGTTCAATAGTTAATGTAATTGGTCGAAATACAATGCGGGTGCACCCCAATGAAATCCGAAAAATATCTATATTATTCCCATCTGGGCTAATTGATCTCGAAAGGAAACTTTATTCGATCCTTGACAGCTTTGCTCTATTTAACAGGAACTGAAGATTGCAGGATAAGGATTAGGGGCAACTTTTAATGATATTTCCATGCAATAAATTGTCGTTGGCATTAATTCAGAAGCGCTAGAAGAAGGAATTTGTTAATAAACTTCTGTTAAAACCGATAAAATATTCCTTTCTGTGTTCTTTAGCA